ACTGGAACTGAGCAGAAACAGTTTAATTATAATAATTAAAAATGTTGAACAATATGTGCAATCAGTGTCTTTGCAGATTTAGAAATGATTGTCTCATTTTACCGATCAAAGAGAGAAAGTTTAAGAAAAAAAAGTGGGTCAAACTTACAACCCTGAAGGACGCCGTAATTAATTACAGTTCACTGTTTCTGCTGAACTGTTGAGGAAATTAGATGAAAATTAAATCAGCCGGTTTGAACGTCGACTTCCTGTACCAAGTTCTGCAGGTGAGCTCAGAACCAATCAGAGAGCTGCAGGACAATCACCTCTTCCTGTTAGGAGTTAAATACCAGGATGTTCATTTGTATGTTTAACTTCTTTTAAAGAACGTTTTAGAATGTAAAACTATTCGGACACATTGGAAATTCTGCATTTATGTGGAAATATTGGCAGATTATCTGAAAATCTCCAAAGTTTTCTTCAATCTCCACTTTAGTTTTTATAAATATTGATTCTCTGAGTTTTAGTGTGGATGAAAAGCCAAAGCACATTAAAATGTTTTACTTTTCATAGATTAATGTGTGGACCGAGCTTTTCTGTCATCATGGCACAAATCAGTGTTTCCAGTTCAAAAAGTCCTGAAGAGCAATCAGAGAAAGATCAAAAGTGTTGAAAGGAGCCGTTTTCTCCACCACTGAAACGCTGGACTCCATTTCTGTTGACGGTCCAATCGTCTGGTTCATCCAGTGAAGAGCGGCTGAGAGCGGCAGCGCTGGCTCTTCAGACCAAATACTCAGTTTCATTCATGTGAAGAGCAGAAAACGCTTTTAAAGTAGAACAGAGGAGCAGATTGGAGCACTTGACCTCCCCTTTTCCACTGATGCAAACAGACGTGAGAAACTGAACTGATGAAAGAAACTTTGATGATTTAATGGAGACTCAGCAGTTTTACTGCAGCAGATGGGAAAGAGATGATGATGATGATGATGGTGATGATGATGATGGTGATGATGATGGTGATGATGGTGATGATGATGATGGTGATGATGATGGTGATGATGATGGTGATGATGGTGATGATGATGATGGTGATGATGATGGTGATGATGATGATGGTGATGATGGTGATGATGATGATGATGGTGATGATGATGATGGTGATGATGGTGATGATGATGATGATGGTGATGATGATGATGATGATGGTGATGATGGTGATGATGATGGTGATGATGATGATGATGATGATGGTGATGATGATGATGATGATGATGGTGATGATGGTGATGATGGTGATGATGGTGATGATGATGGTGATGATGGTGATGATGATGATGGTGATGATGATGATGGTGATGATGATGGTGATGATGGTGATGATGATGATGATGGTGATGATGATGATGGTGGTGATGATGATGATGATGATGGTGATGATGATGGTGATGATGATGGTGATGATGATGATAGTGATGATGGTGATGATGATGATGGTGATGATGATGGTGATGATGGTGATGATGGTGATGATGATGGTGATGATGATGGTGATGATGGTGATGATGATGGTGATGATGATGTGGTGATGATGGTGGTGATGATGATGATGGTGATGATGATGGTGATGATGATGATGATGGTGATGATGATGATGATGATGATGATGGTGATGATGGTGATGATGATGATGGTGATGATGGTGGTGATGATGGTGATGATGATGATGATGGTGATGATGATGATGATGATGGTGATGATGATGATGGTGATGATGGTGGTGATGATGATGATGGTGATGATGGTGATGATGATGATGGTGATGGTGGTGATGATGATGATGGTGATGATGGTGATGATGATGATGATGGTGATGATGATGATGATGATGGTGATGATGATGATGATGGTGGTGATGATGATGGTGGTGATGGTGATGATGATGATGATGGTGATGATGGTGATGTTGATGATGATGTTGATGATGATGGTGATGATGATGATGGTGATGATGATGATGGTGATGATGGTGGTGATGATGGTGATGATGATGATGGTGATGATGATGATGGTGATGATGATGGTGATGATGATGTTGATGATGATGATGATGGTGATGATGATGATGATGAAATCATGTTTTGTTTGGTTGGATGATGGAAAATGAATCGGTTGATGTGGATCAAATGAAGAAAGTTTTCATTTCTGTTGGAACAAAACGCAGAAAGTTTCTTTTTGAGGATCGAATCTTCATCCCGCTGATTCATCAGAGACAGTTTCTGGATCGGGTTTTGGAAAGTTTTCCATTTTCAGAGAACCAGCTTGTCGCGTCATAATGAGATGAAACTTGTCATAAATTCTTCTGTGAATCCAGATTATTCACACATTTTTTCTGCAGTAGATATTTAAAACATTCAAAGGAAATGCATCGTGGGAAGCTGAACTAGCTAGCCACAATGCTACCTGGCACGTTAGCTGCCTAGTGACATAAACATTAGCTTCAGTGCTAATGCTATTAATGCTAACTAAGGCATGTTTGGTGCTTCAGCTGTTAAATGATCTGTTTCTCATTTAGAGGTTGATGGATTTCTGTAGATGAAGCCTGTTGGACGCACATCGTCTCTGAGGATATTTTGTTCATCATTTTATCCTCTTTAAGGTTTATTGCCTCTAATAGGAGACAGAAAACCTCCATGTGACGAAGCAGCTGAGAGAAAACAGCAGAAAGTGTTGAGTTGGTGTTTCCTGCTGATGTGTTGGAGACGCCGTCAGCGACCGGCTGACGGCGTCTCCAACCCGGAGCTGATGAAAGGCAGAGGATCCCTGCCGCATCGATTCAGCCCCATCGATTTAAAGAACAACCCCCCTCAGAGCAGAAAACCCCTCCTGAAGGATACAGTCGTGTGTTTGATCCTCACTGTAACCCAGACTGGGGGAGAAACGCCCAATCGGGTCGTTGGCTTCACCTCTGGGTTCAGAAATAAAACTGCATGTAAATAAGTTTAATGCGATCGGTTACAATTAATCAATTAACCGCATGTGAAATTATAATATGATTTATTGTTCTTTGAATTTTCTTTCTTTCTTCCAAAAACTCTTCAGTTTGGAGCTTTTATAGGACAGTTTTGTTTCCAAAGACGCTTTGATTCATTTTACTTGTTCCAGTTCCAGAGTTAAATATTCATTAGAATTATTGATCTTTGAGGATTTATTCCTGTACCATATGGCATGAAAATGGTCTCAAAACAACATTATTATTTCTCTCAATATAGTCATTAATGTGTTGCTATGCGTCATCATCCTCCTACTACTTCCTGTCGTCTTTGTCATTTCTGTCAGTAGTAACGTTCGGTTGTACAGATTAAGGTTATAATACTGCAGATTATTCATCTGTCGTTGGGGTTCAAATCATGTGTTTGTCCAGTGACTGACGTCTAAGTTTTGGTGTTTCTGTCTGGTGACGCCTGCGGGGCTGTTTTCCTAGATCCGTTTCCTGGATCCGTTTCCTGGATCCGTTTCCTGGATTCGTTTCCTGGATCTGTTTTCCTGGATCCGTTTTCCTGGATCCGTTTCCTGGATCCGTTTTCCTGGATCTGTTTTCCTGGATCTGTTTCCTGGATCCGTTTCCTGGATTCGTTTCCTGGATCTGTTTTCCTGGATCCGTTTCCTGGATCCGTTTCCTGGATCTGTTTTCCTGGATCCATTTTCCTGGATCTGTTTCCTGGATCCGTCCGGTCCAGCACTGAGTCACAGCTAAACCCAACAAAAACTAAACAAACTGATTTTTGGACTGAGGTACACGATGTTCCTGACGCTCATATCAACGGCGATAACCGGGAAGCCGAGTCCACCGAGGCGGGCTGAGAAAGGAATCCTGGGATTTATAGGACAGTAAAGACATTGATCAGAGAATAATAAAACGTTACACATTATGAGGAAACAGATTCATAGGAGGGGAAGCTGGTTGAACATTAACAGATTCCTACTGGGATTATGGTTCATTGTTTCTAGAGTTCAATCACCATCATTTGTCTTCCAAACAGATTCATTTATACCCAGAGATCAACAGCGCCACCGTCTGCTTTTATCAGGAACTAACAGCTTTAAACGCCCCTTCGTTCACCTCGGCTCAGAAAAACAGGATCATCTTCCAAATAAAACCGACAGAGGTGATGCAGATGTGATGAACTGACACAGCAGCGCAGCGGTGTGTGTGTGTGTGTGTGTGTGTGTGTGTGTGTGTGTGTGTGTGTGTGTGTGTTTACAGTGAGGGTAGCTTCCCCTTACATAACAGTTCTGTTACCGAGTCTTTAACCGGATTCGTATTGATCAGCCGGGCTCCGACTCTTGCATACTTAATTCATGGAGGTAATCAAATCAAACGCACCCAGACCTCCTGCAGGAGGCGTTAATGTGGCTTTATCTGCTCTGAACAACTTTCTGCTGTTCACTGCAAAACTTTACCTCATTTTACTTATTTTAAAACTTTACAACCTGCAGCTCTTCAATTAAATGAAAGCAATTCAGTTTTTTTATGTGACAAATTTGGAAAAAAAGAAAAGAAGAAATTCTGCCAGAAGACTCAGAAACATTTCTGACTTTTAAAAATCTGACAGTTTCTTATATTTTTCTTGCAAATCTTCAACTTTTGAATCTCAGAAATTACCAAATTGTTGAAAAAATTAAATAATTATTTTAATTTCTCAAACTAATGTACAACAAATGCTAAAAAACCCAACATATTCATACATTTATAAATTTTCACATTATTGAGACATTTGAAGTAAATTTGAAGTAAAATTGTGAGAATGTTTTAGTTTTGCATGAATTTCTGTAATTTTGTTGGAAATTGTGCAACAAACTCAAACATTTTATTCTTCAAAGAACTTAAGGCGAATAAATGCAGGAATTTGTTTTTAAGAGACTGAATAACAAATATTTAAACATATCAAAATCCTAACAAACAGTAACTTCAATATTTCCTCTTTCCCAAACCCGATTTCCTGCCCTGTGTTTTTTCCCAGCATGCAAGCGGAAGGAGCAGGACACGGGGAAGGATCGCAACAACACACCAAAGAAGTCGCGGCTGGTCTTCACCGACCTGCAGCGGCGCACCCTGCTGGCCATCTTCAAGGAGAACAAGCGGCCGTCCAAAGAGATGCAGCTCACCATCTCGCAGCAGCTGGGCCTCGAACTCACCACAGTCAGCAACTTCTTCATGAACGCCCGCCGCCGGAGCCTGGACAAATGGACAGACGACGGCGCCAGCCCCGGCCCCAGTCCTCGGCGTCCAGCACTTGTACCAAAGCATGATAGAAGACGGAGAAACGGAGATACGGGGACAAACCGGGACAAACCGGGACAGACCGGTCGGGGGGGTCAAGGTTTCGTCCGGTTGAAGCGAAACTGAAACTTTTTACACCATTTTCTTTCTTTCCTTTCCTTGAGGGTACAAACAGAGAGAGGGGCTGCTCACTGCCACGACTTGTCGCCAAATCACCTTCTGCTAATTTATCCTAGACGTAAAGAAAGCTGGAGGGTAAACTCATTAAAAACATACAAAACCTCACGATGGAGGGAAAACCCTCTGAATCATAGACTTCAACTGTCCACTGCTGATGTCTCCTCCAGGCTGACACTCTAGCCCAAAAACCAAAGACTAGAAGACAATGTGTGTTTTCTATTATGCAATATAAGCTAGGAAACAACCAAACACCAAACCAAGGAAAGCTTTATGACTGCAGAATGTGACAGATGCTCTGGGACATTTTCTGTGGAAATTCTCCTCAAAGGTCCAATCAGGAGTTGGGTTTCAGTTCAACGGTTCAAGCAATAGACAGTTTGTGTCGCTGAGGCGTTTTTATTTTCAGCAAACCAAAGATAGACAAAGGGAAAGGACGATAGTTTCACCCAAATTCAAAGATTTGACTCTCTAAAGAAGGTGGTGCCGAAATATGCAAGCACAAACATTCATCGGTCGACCCAACAGCGCTCAGCTCGAGCCTCATCAGAACCCTACCAGAACCCTTAGACTATAAACTACATGAGTGAGCACAATCTTGAAGCACATTTTCTTTGCAATAGAACCGGAGCCGGCGGCGACCCGAGTGGGCTTCGCATCTTAGAAAACTCAGGATGCCATTTATTTTCTAAACAGTGGCTGAAGTCCATTCGGTGCGCGTCACGAAAAAACACGGCGAAGTCCTCAAACGCGTCCAGAGACAAAACTGTACAGTCACAACGAGCTCCCCGCTAACCGCATGCTAACGCTAACGCTAGCTTACCCCGGCTTCTCATTCAGGGAAGTGATGGCAGCTCCTTCCACCAATCACAGCGCAGAATTAAACTTTAACTTATTGAGTAATTTATTGATTAGCCCTTGGTGGCCGTTCTGAGGCAAGACTGACCAGACTCTGATGAATGGTTTCCAACTGCAGACTAGAGATATTTTTGTAAGATTTTGTCTGCCACCACAAAGAAAAACAGAATAAAACCGAACCAGAACACACGGTGGACCAACTGGACCCGGCGGAGGACGGACCGGCCAGGCGGATCAGGGCCTTTGTAATAGTTAAAGAGGACAATCTAAAGACGATGCCTGGCCGGTCCGTCCTTCCGGAGGCTCAGTGGAAACCAGGAAATGTCTCCCAAAGACGCAAATAAGTCATTTAAATGTTCGTCAGCCATAAATTCAGCAGATCGGTCCAAATCGTTTGAAAAGCTGATTTAAATACCAACACAAAACCCGTTTCAGAAGTCTGTCCATCCGCCATCACCTCATCAATCATCTTCACTCAAGCTATGAAACCAAAAAATGAAACCAAAGCAAAGCAAAGGCGTCAGTCAGCAGCCCCTGCTCCGTTCCAGAACCCGGCTGGAGATCTGGGCCTGGTCAGAGGCAGCCAAAGGCTTTAAGAACATTTTAAGATAAAAAATGGACACTTGAGACTTTTTCTATTTATTGACAAATCGAAACCAAAGAAAACCTTTTTCTGCACCTAACTGTTCCAACAAATGGGAAAAAAACATAAACTTGGATGAGAATTATTACCAAAAAAACAAAAGGAGGAAAAAAAAACAAAAACAGAGTGGCGACGATGTCAAGGAACGAGGATGCGAAGGAAAGTTCGACGGAAGGACGACATCTCTGGAGTAGCAAAGTAGCTTTTGTTGTGTCTGGTGGTGCATCAGGCAACTTTGGGACTGAAAAGGGTAAAACCACACGGGGCGGAGCGAAGAAACATCACCGGGTTTCTTCCCTCCGGCCCGACGAAACGGCAGAACATTAATGTGTCTCACGGTTGAAGAGTGTCTTTAACGTGTGCCTATGCAGTTTTTCAAAGTAAAAAACGGTTTAAAGAACAACAGAAACCTCATCAGCTAACAAACCAAAGATTCACCGTTGACTGCGGCAGCAGAGCTCCGCCCCCTCCAGCAGGTAAACCTGAATATCAGACATTAAATCCTTTGTTCTTTCAATCATGCAGAAAGTTTCTGTTTCAGGATAAAGACCCGACTTTAATTTTCTGTGAAGCACTTTTAACGATTCTGCAGGAGCATCAACAATAACAGTTTTAATTTTTCACCATAAATCTGTAACTGGAGGGATTAATGTTTGATAAATCAGCCAGTGGATCTGAAACGTACAGACATACCAAAGATTTTTTACTGTACTGCCAGAAAAAACGCTGGATCTCTATCAGTCTGATCGCATTGAGTTTCTATTTTCTTAACTTTTCATCTCAAACCGAAGCAGAAAGCAGCAAAACTCAGAAACTGGACAGGATTTGATCAGAACCACCAAGAAAACAAGCAAAAAACTCAAATTATTTTTAAAAAACTGTTTTGAATTCTTAAGATAAAACATGGAACTGGGTTCAAAAGTCAATTTATTTTGAGTTTCTAAGTGAGGCTTCGGTAAACGTGACTCATATCTGTTTAAAAACTTTTTACCCCCCCAGGATCCGACTAATGCCCCGTCCACACGCGGTTCTGATTGTGTCCAGTAGGTTTCAGAACCTGTGGCCTTCATTGTTCTGGTAAATCCAAACGATGGTTCTGACTCATCTTATGACCTGGTGACGAAACTGTAAACTTTTCAATCCATCATTACCATCAAATTAGTGAAAAATGTGCTGTAAAAAACTCCAGAATTTTCCAGAATTCTTTTGGTTTTCTAACCGAATTGGGCTCCATCTGTACGGAAGGCAAATACGACCAATATCTGATTTTTTCAGACGGGTTTGAAGGGCCCAATTTTGATGTTTTCACTCCCCATAAAATGTAATTTTGCCACTTTCACAAGTGGTTCTGATTTGGATCGGAGCACATCAGGTCAAAATGTCGCATTTTATCCAACTTTTACATAAATGGCGTTATAAATCCCTCTCGATGACGAGACAGTGGCGTCCATCATCACGACCTTCTTCAGTTTGGGGTCATGAGCCAAAAGTCTGATTTAGTTACTATGAACGATCAATGTCCATAAAAATAAAAAATAAAAGTTCTGCTGCTTTCTTTGGTTGACAAGTTAAGAAAAATAAAAACAGTATTTTAATAAATGTCTTTAGCACATGCTGACAGCCACACATAAGGGAGACGTCCATAATCTGGAAAGCTGGCGTTATCTTCCAGTCTGAGGGGGCGGAGCTTCGCTGCCGACCCATTTATACGACAACAACAAACAAAACCAAAAATAACAACAAATCTCCGACTGCTGAGAGAAACTGCTGAATCTCGGTCAAATAGCTTTATCCTTAGTTTTCTGTCTGTGTTTTTCTGTATGTGAAGCTTCTAGTCCAAAGAAATCCTCCGGCCGCCTGGCCCCAACCTGTTGCTGTCCGCTGCCCGTCGAGGGGCTCGGATCAGGGCCAGGCGGCGGCGGCCATGTTTTCATGTCATTCCCACTTGCAGTTCTGTCTAGATGTAATAATAACGGCTAAATCTGCCAAGCGTAATTTAAAAAAGATAAAGAAAAAAAAAAGGAGAGCGAGAGATAACAGGAAGGTAAACCACAAACCGACCCAAAGAGGTTTTCACTGCTCCTTTATTTGCCAATTACATTTACGACACTATTGTACTTCCTAAGTTTTTGCAATATGTGATTTCTTTTTTATGTAATTTGTTTTTAATTGTGAGGTAATTTAAGCGAACAAATTTTGTTGCCAAATCTCCTGGGTGACGGTTAGCTTTGCCAAAGTTTACACTGTTTGTTCCTTTTCTTTCCGTTGGATGCCATATTTATTTATGTGTTTTAGAACACACTAGTTTTGTACTTGATAATTTAATGTTATTTAATTAGCTGTAATTCTTTGGTTTCTGATGAATATTTATGGGTATTTAAGAATGTTAGTTGCATCAAAGATGCAGAGCTTTTTTCCAGGCCTGTTAATTTATTGGTAGCTAGTTTTACTTTTCAAAGCCAATGAAGCGTCGTGTTATGAATGTTTAGATCTAAAGACAGAACAACGTAGGAATGTCAGATTAGACTTACATACTTCTGAATGTCGACTCTTGCTCTCACTCTCTCGCCATTTAGCTTTTATTTCTCCTTGTTCTGCTTCGTTTTATTCTTGTTTTGTCAGCAACGGAAACAAAGTGAGAAGCTGCTGAATGATGAGCGCCGCATCAGTTTTTGTTCTTATGTCGCCGCGTCCTGCTGACTGTTGAACGAGTTTTCAGACTGATGGTAGAGTTCAGGTGAAAACAGACCCACCAAAGATAACAGGAATCCAGACAAGCATCAGAAATGTTCTCCTCTAATGGCCGAACTCTGCATGTGGAGCCATGACGTTTCTTTCTAAAAGACCAAAAATTAAGTCAAATAAAATCATATTTTGAACAATATCTGGCAGAAGATAAATTATTTCCTGATGTTTTCTGCCTTTTAAGTGACCTTTATTGTTTAACAAATATTCTATGAGAATTTGATCAGCTTGCAGGTTTTTAACAGTTTCAGATCGTCAGAGTTTCTCCTTTGGGTTTTTGGTGGACGACGGATCAGATCTGGATTTATTTGATTCACATCAGGTGTGAACTCAGGAAAACTGGCTGCACCTTTTAATGTTTCACCTCCACGTAGTTTTGTTTGGTTAAATTGGATAAAAGTTGCGTTGAAGGTGGAAAAAGTCTGGAAATTATAAATCATGACCTTGTTTTTAACCTTGGTTTGGTGGAAACGCACAGATTCCCAGGATCTGGCTGGCGGAGGATTGATGGGGTTGATCTGGATGCTGATGTCTTTGTGGGTTTGTTTCCTCGTCAGGAAGGAAGCGGAGCGGCGCCGTGACGAAGCTGTCCGTGTAAAAAGACGTTTCCAGTGAGATGCAGAGGCTACCTCACTCTTTCTCTCTCTCTCTCTCCGTCTGTCCTCTAATTGTGCCGATGAAACCAAAGAAAGCAGAGCT